CACTTTATGGCAAATAGATGGGGAAACAATGGAAAAAGTGACAGACTTTATTTTCAGGGGCTCCAAAATCACTGCAGATGGTGACTGCAGCCATGAAATTAAAAGACACTTGCTCCTTGGAAGAGAAGCCATGACCAACCTAGACAGCATATTAAAAAGCAGAAACATTACTTTGCCGACAAATGTCCATCTAGCCAAAGCTATAGTTTTTCCCGTAGTCACATATGGATGTGAGAGTTGGACTATAAAGAAAGCTGAGTGCCGAAGAACTGATGCTTTTGAACTGTAGTATTGGGGAAGACTCTTGAGAGTCCCTTGGACTGCAAGGAGATCCAACCAGTCTATCCTAAAGGGAATCAATCCTGAATATTCAATGGAAGGACTCATGCCGAAGCTAAAACTCCAATACTTTGGCCAACTGATGTGAAGAACTGACTCATTTGAAAAGACCCTGATGCTGGGAAAGAGGACAAGGGGACGACAGAGGATGAGCTGGTTGGATGGCATCACCGACTCGGTGGACATGAGTTTGAACAAGCTCTGGGAGCTGGGTAATGGACAGGGAAGCCTGGCATGCTGTTGTCCATGTAGTTGTAAAGAGTCACACATGACTGAGCAACTGAACTGAAATGAACTGAGGGATGCTTGAGAAATTATTCCAAAATTCAGTGGCTTAAAACAACCATTTTAATATACTCATTTATTCAATGGGTTATTAGGAATTAGGAAAGGGTATAAGAGGGATTCTAAATGAGATTTCTGCTTCATTGACTATGCTAAAGCCTTTGATGGTGTGTATCACAACAAATTGTGGAAAATTCTTCAAGACATGGGACTACCAGACCACCTTATCTGCCTCCTGAGAATTATGTATGCAGGTCAAGAAGCAACAGTTAGAACTGGACATGGAACAACAGACTGGCTCCAAAATGGCAAAGGAGTACATCAAGGCTGTATATTGTCACTTTGCTTATTTAACTTATATTCAGAGTACATCATGTAAAATGCCGGACTGGATGAAGCACAAGCTGATTAAGACTGCTGGGAGAAATATCAATAACCTCAGATATGCAGATGACACCACTCTTATGGCAGAAAGTAAAAAGGAACTGAAGGGCCTCTTGATGAAAGTGAAAGAGAGTGAAAAAGCTGGCTTAAAACTCAGCATTCAAAAAATGAAGATCATGGCATCCGGCCCCATCACTTTATGGCAAATAGATGGGGAAACAATGGAAAAAGTGACAGACTTTATTTTCAGGAGCTCCAAAATCACTGCAGATGGTGACTGCAGCCATGAAATTAAGACACTTGCTCCTTGGAAGAAAAGCTATGACCAACCTAGACAGCATATTAAAAAGCAGAGACATTACTTTACTGACAATGTTCTGTCTGGTCAAAGCTCTGGTTTTTCCAGTAGTCATGTATGGATGTAAGAGTTGGATCATAAAGCAAGCTGAACGCCACAGAATTGATGTTTGAACTGTGGTGTTGGAGAAGACTCTTGAGAGTCCCTTGGACAACAAAGAGATCAAACCAGTCAGTCGTAAAGGAGATCAGTCCTGAATATTCACTGGAAGGACTGATGCTGAAGCTGAAGCTCCAATACTTTGGCTACCTGATGTGAAGAACCAACTTATTGGAAAAAACTCTGACGCTCAGAAAGATTGAAGGCAGGAGGAGAAGGGGACAACAGAGGATGAGATGGCTGAATGGCATCACCAATTCAATGGACATGAGTTTAATGTGCTCCGGGAGTTGGTGATGGACCGGGAAGTCCATGGACTTGCAAAGAGTCCACAGGGTCGCAAAGAGTTGGACATGACTAAGCAACTGAACTGACTGACTGATAAGAGGGATGGATTCACAATGCCTGGAGTCTCAAATGGGAAGATCTGAAGGTTGGGGGTGGTAACTTGACAGCTGGTGGCAGGAATCATTTGGAGGCATATTCATTCACAATTCTAGTAGCGGATGCTGACTATCCGTTGGGACCTCCTCTGGGGCTGTCAATCTTGATTACTACATATGGCTCCTATGTATATCTTGGATTTCTTCACAACACAAAGGAATCAGATCCCTTACATGGTGGTTCATGCTTCCAAAGGCAGCTCAATTCCTGATCTCCAGATCAAAAATTTTTTTCTTTAAAAAATTATTTTATTGATATATAGTTGTGTTACAATGTTGTGTTAATTTCTTCTGTATAGTGAAGTGACTCAGTTATACATATATGCACATTCTTTATAATATTCTTTTCCATTATGGTTTATCATAGGATATTGAATATAGTTCCCCACTATATATATAGTAGGACCTTTTTGTTTATCATTCTATATATATCAGTTTGTGTCTACTAACTCCAAGCTCATTCCATTCCTTCCCCAGTCTCCCATTCCTTGGCAACCACAAATCTGTTTTCCATGTCCATGGGTTTGCTTCTGTTTCATAGATAGGTTCATCTGTGTCATATTTTTGATTCTACATATAAGTGATATCATATGGTATTTGTCTTTCTCTTTCTGACTTACTTCACTTAGTATGATAATCTCTAGTTGCATTCATGTTACTGCAAATGGCATTATTTCATTCTTTTTTATGGCTGAGTAATACTGTATTCCATTGTATATGTGTACCACATCTTCTTTACCCACAAATGAAAGCCTTTCCTAATGTAGTCCTAGAAGTCACATAGTATGAATTCTGCTTATTCTATTGGTCAATCAACTGGTCAGCCCAGTTGGGCTGGGATGACAGAAACACAAAAATCCTACTTCCTAACAGAAGAAGTGTCCAAGAATTTGAGGACATGTTTTTAAGCATCTCACTCAAACATCCAATAATACCTGGATCTCTGCAGTGTATTTTACTAATTACTAAATAAATATTTACTTCAATTGGAGTAAAAGTTAATTGGCAGCTCTAAGCACTAGGTAGGGTTTGCTGATCGTGAGCATGACTGTAGAGTGATATGGCTGGGCTGTTTCATGGGGCAGACCCAGAGGTCAGCGTTTTCAGCTATTTTCTCTTGGGATGTTCAGATTTCAGAGAAGGCCTTTGTCAATCTCTTGACTGGCTGCCAAAGTGACAGGAACCAGGTAGGAGAAGGAGCCTGGGTGTCAGTCTTCATCATCACTTTCAGTATGGTTTGCCATTAGCTGTGCCTGATTCTCATCAGACCAGAGACCCTTTAATTTCTCTCTCTGGAAAGTAACCAGCTTTTGCTGAGGAGGGGGCAGGACAGAAGCTGTCTCTTGGAAAATGGGATTTAGGCCTCTAAGAGATTCTTAACATATTTTCAAGCAAACTTGCTAGTTTTGGTCTTATGTTAACCCTCATTTCCAAGATATGTTGATGCTGCTGATTCTTGAACCTTTTGGAGAGTCTTGTAGAATAAGTCAGGTTGCTTCTTACTTTCTATGCCACCTGTTAGGCATCTGCTTTCTTAAGACCACTAATTTATTTACCACTTAATCTGTTTTACAGCTTTCAAAATGAGATTTTCTTGTCTTTTTTCTGATTTTTATCCTTGTGGGTTTATGCTTTCTTTCAGTTCAGTTCAGTTCAGTCACTCAGTTGTGTCTGACTCTGCGACCCCATAAACTGCAACATGTCAGGCCTCCCTGTCCATCACCAACTCCCGGAGCCTACCCAAACTCATGTCCATTGAGTCAGTGATGCCATCCAATCACCTCATCCTCTGTCTTAGGATTTTCCTAAGAACTTTCTATTGAGTGGAATTTCAGAAGGGAGTGTAATACATACACTAATTATGTCATCTTAAACTGGATGTCCTGATTAGACAGATATAAAAGATGACAGAATCCTACATAATATAAGCACTCTTAATTTAGGAATTTAAATAAAATAAATATCTGTTAACTTTTGACTTTACCACATTTAAAAAATGAACCAGGGAATAATACTTTCCTGTGGTAGATTTGGGGTGGAATGATTGGGTCTTAACCATAATCAGAAAGAGAGCAGATCTGGTTACCAACTTAACAGCAGGAAAAAAAGGGCCAAAATAAACAAAAAGAGGAGAACTTTGACATTTTATTGCTAAAAGAGCTTAAGTACAGGCCCTCAGTACAATAAGCAATGTTTAAATGGACAGGAGCCTGGCGTGCTCCAGTCCATGGGGTCACAAAGAGTCAGTCATGACTTGGTGACTGAACAACAAAAACTACAAAATAACTTAAAAGGCATTTCTTCTATAAATTGCCTAAGGTTACTTGATGATTTGGCAGATTATCTTTCTATGTTCCTCCAAACCAGTTAATGTCTGGCCTGCAAAGATAATAATGACATATAGCTACATTTTAAGATTCTGCCTTTAAAATTAGACAATAGCATCCCAGGACTCTACTAAACAGTCTTGATCTTTATCTTCTGAAACCTCAGCACAACTACAAGCTCAGGTTCAGGGTCAACAATAATTCCCTCTATTAGCACCTACAGTTAGAAGGAACTGCAAACACTACCCTCTGTAGCAATAGCAGTGGTAGCAGTAAAATTAATACCAACTCTAACACCATCTATATCACCCACTAAATCACCACCTCCTCTTTCTAGTGTTCATGGAATACTAACAATGGGACTAGCTAATAAAAAAAATTTTTATCTTCATTTTATTTTGCATCCATTTTATAGATGAGATAGCTGAGGTTTAGGGGAGGGTAGTAAATGTAGATCTGGAGTAAACTCAGGCTGTCTTCAAAGCCTGTGTGGTTAAGCGACATGCTGGATCAGAGGGAGAAAGACATCTATGATGCCTTTAAGTCAGATGGGAAGTTGATACACTGAATATATTGGTAAGAGGTGGGAATGAGCAAAGATTCATGATGCCTGAAAATATGTGGTTTTGAATGAGAAAATAAAAACCAAAGGAGGAGTTCAAAGGCTCCAAAGCAACCAAATCACAAAGATCTCTCAGCTTCAGCCCTTGTCCAGAGTGTTCCCTATAGAAGTCTATGGCAATAATTAAGCAACAAGACACTTACAGAATGTTTGCTGGAAGTGAGATAATGTTGGAGCTTCTGGAGCGATGTTGTAGAAATGGGTTTTTAGTGCTCCGCTCACCAGTAGATTATATGCCAGATCAGTTATATTGATGCCCACAATTGCAAATGAGTACCTGTAAAGTACAAGCCACAACACCAACTGTGTGTCACATATGGGAAGCAAGCATCTCAAAAAAAATTATAATTTGATTTTTACATTACATTAAATTATGAGAATGGCAGATTTCCCTTCCTCACAGCCTTATCAAAACTCTGAATCTTATTAACAGAAAATTTTAATAATGTTTGCCAAGAGAACTGAGAGTTTGTATGCCTTGACTTACTAATTCCATTCCCAAATATATGAGAAAGAAACAGAAAATGAAAAAGCTTTATACACAAGGATAGTCATTTATATGGCAAAGATATGTAAATTATTCATATATCCTAAAGAAGGTGATTGGTGAAATAAATTATGATAATCTCATATAGTGTACTACAGCTAGTAAAACTATATTACTAAAGATGATTTAAGCAGGATATAAAACAATATATAAGGAACAAGCCAAGTTTTATTTTATACATTCAAATGTGAACAAAAATATTCTAAGACTCAAATACTACAAAATATTAATATGGGTATATTAGAGTAATATGACTAGGGTGTTTTTGTTTACTTCTCTATATTTTTAAAATTTTCTATAATAAATCAAATATTACTCTTAAAATGAGGAAAAATTAGTATCTTAATACTCAGCTTGTATTTTCTAGTTCATTTTCCACACGTCTATTCAGAATTAAGTCAAATGCAGTTCTTAAGTCTTCTCTGGCACTATAAATCCAGCACATAAAAAAGAAGTTCTCTGTTCAGAAATATTTTTGGATGACATGAGGCATTATAAAAAATTTTATAAAGTTAAATTTTAACTAATAGCCTGACACTTGATAGAAATCCTTCAGAGCAAACTAGCAAATACAATTCCAAATTATGACTTTTGAAAATCATTTCCATATAGTTATAACTTTCTAAACCTTATGACTAGAACATAGGCAAAGTAGTATCATATAATCATATAAGTAAATCCAAAAAACATAAACAGGTTCTTTTCAAAACTGGATTATTTATTTCCATCAGGACATTTGGATTTTCATCCTTGTCATTTTTTGCAGTGCTCTTAGGATATTTTTGTTCTGGTTCTGGCTCAGACTGACAACCCTTTATATGTGGAGTCCCACACTCACCCAATTGCTTTATCCATCCTTTTCTTCTCCCATTCTGCTTTGCTGAATTTGCTGAATAAATGAGTGAACAAATAAATAAATATGTAAGATTTGATCTCTAATTAGCACCTGTTCTCTTTTAATGTTTTTTTTTTAAACTGTTGACTAGATGTGGGGATGTCTATAACTCAGTTATCAAACACTAATCAATTTAAATGTTATTAACTAAAAAGCTACAGTGTAATTTATACAGAGCTCAGAAATGGAATTATTTAAAGCCATGGTACTTATCCCTTATTCACTATATTATGGTAGTGAGAGACAGACCTAAAAATCAAGCATACTCTTTTATATTATCCATTAATTACCAAACAATACTTCCTCCATGAAACCTTGCCTGGTATTTCTCTCTCCTCTAGCAAGATGCTACCTCACTCTCTCATGATTCCCCACCCTGCATTTCATCTGGTTTTCCCTCATGGAAATTATATTATTTAGCCTTATTTGTGATGTCTTATACACAGCAGATGCCAAATAAACATTTACTGATAGTGAAAAAAAGAAGGAAAGAAGAAAAGGAGGGAGGGAGGGGAGAAGGCAAGGAGAGACACATAAGCTTTAAAAATTCTGTTTCAGCAAGTGCTGTAGCATTTCCTCTGGCTAAGCCAAGACAACTAAACCTCAGCAGATACATTTAATACTTTTTTATACTTACAGCTTCTGAATAAGATTATCTGAGGAAAGGGTTCTATAATAAGGGTGTTCTGAAAACACTAGCTTGCATTCTATCACTTTGCATACTTCCTTATACCCCTTCTCACCCACTTCCATACTGCCAACGTCTGGTAGGCAGGAATCACCTTGCATTCTTCCTTGTGGCCAATGTGACCTTCATTCAGTGTTCTACACTGAAAACTGTTGTTAGTCTTGGAACTAAATACAATTCTAAAACTAGAGTTATTAACGAACATTTAGCTTCCATCTAAGTAACAGAAAGAGCTCTTCATAAAGCAATGCAAACACTACAACAAAAGACACTCGTGTTATACACAGCACAAGCCCACGAAAATGATGCAAAATTGGTGTTTTACTCTAAGTACTTTCTACTCTATAAATGACTGGCTCTAATTCAAAGTAACTGTCTTTAATTCATGTTAAAATAAGCCACTTCTTTTTAAAGTGTAACTGCCAATTATCAGCCAAAGAGGCATCAGGAGATTTTTACCTTAAACAACTCATACCCAAACTAAAAAGAGTTAGGTGTGAAATTAAAGAAATTTTGTATAAACAAATTTATAAGCAGCTCTTTTCAACAAAACTTTATAAATACATAGTGTCTCTGTATTTTGTTAAATTAAATCTACCTGCATTGGAAATATAAGAAAAGGCCAAATGACCTCCACTCATTTCAATACTTTTAAGTAATGATACTCTATAGGATGTCCCAGCTCAAACAGAAGGAACTCCTTTCTTCAGGAGACACACACCACAAACAAGCACAAAAACAAACTGTCAAAATTCTCCTCTTAAACTTGAATCTACTTTTATCCCTCAAGTTACTTCAGGATAGATCTTCACAAGAGCAACAATGTATAATGCCTGCTGAAGGGTAGACAGGGAAAAACCTTCCTTAGTATTTACTGGCTTCTCCCTGTTCAACACCTGAGATATTCAAGGTCTGAAAGAATCTAGGGTGATATCACAATGGGTTAATAAATATTTCTTTCAGACACTGGTGAAGGACAGTGGTGATTTCAAGACATTCTGATTTGTATTCAATGACATTTACCATCAATTTGAAGTGGTTAATAGTTGAACTTCATCTAGTCAATTTTATTTGTAGCTTGAGGGACAAAGGATTTGCATGCTCCTCCACCCCACACATTCTAGTCTCTTCTTAAATAAGAGTAAACACACAAACCCTCAATACTTCCTCTCTGAGGGCCAACACAGGATATAAAATTATAAAGCTTTTCTTTCAAGATCATTCATAGGCAAAATTAATCCCTCTCCAACAGTTCATTAACAAATATTTTAAGCTTACTGCCACTTCCCAAGGACCGTGAAGGATTCATGTCTTCTACCTAATGCTTCTCCACAGAATAACTGCACACAGACTCCTCAGTCAATTTTAATTATAGAGATTTCAGAATCTCTACATTAACAGAAACATGTAATTCGATGTAGTTAAAAAACTAAAATAGCTTGATTTTAGCCATGCAATCTACGAAGAAAGAGTTAAGGGATCTTATTGTTTTTCTTAAAGTAAATAAAGGTAAAGAAAATGAAAATTTAACCTTGTAAAAGATTATATTTATAAATTTGGGAAGTATAGTATAATTTAATGAATCTTAGCCATTGAAGCTACAGTCAGTATAATAGTAAGATAAGAGGGGAGCCCCAAAGTCAGTCTATACCACTCATAGATTCTGAGAGTGGTATGATAAAATTTGGGACTTATTTAGTAATCATGAACACTAACAAGGACTCTGCTCATGCTGAGGAGAAAAAAGTGATACAAAAATATGAATACATAATAGAAGAACTCCTTATAATAAGAGTGACTAAAGCATGTATATACTCTTCATAATAATACAATTAGAAATACATTAATAGGAGAGTTAATATGCTTTGTGCAACAAAATTCCCAAATAAAATGTCCATCTCTTGGAGTAGATGGGATCAGAGATGTGTGGTAATGTGTTCAGCCTTTAGGTGACGTTTCAAAATGTTTTTCCAATAGACACAGCTGTAGAAAGACTCGTGACATTTTCTATCAGGTTAGTCTAATCTGATTTTTCCTTTACCAAAATGCAAGCCAAATGTAATGAACTATATTATATAAACTGTCGGGAAATGTTTGCTTTTAGAAAATTTTCATGAATTTATATTTTTTGGAAAATTCTTACCCACACTTAGCCTAAAAGAAAAGTGAGAAAAAGCAAAAGCAAAGAAAAATACCTTATTTCCTCTTTAGTGATATCCCTTAATGCAATCAGTTAAAAAAAATTTAGAAAGTTAAATGAAAACACAAACAATTTACAATCTAGAATTTTATTAAGAAAATAAAAGAGCCTCAGCAATTTTAGACTTTCTCACTTGGTCTCTGACTTCGACTTCCATTCTTCCCTCTATTCCCCCTCTGTGGTCCCTTGTTTCCCACCTCCCTCATACTCTCCTTTCTCCTTCTTCTATGCCCATCTCCTCAATCTTCCCAGACACCAGAGATACTACTAATCCCTTCAGGTAAATACATATTTCACTCGAAAAGTGCCACTTTACACCCTAAAACCTGTAAGAAGTCTGACATTTTAACTTTCCTATTCAGCATTTGTCAAAAGTGCTTGTTTGAAAGAGCTTTAAGCCTCACTTCTGGTGGGTTGACTCTCTTGAGAATCTCAACAATAGAGCCATATAGGAGATGAAGTTAATTCTACCTAATCTATAAAACCTAATTCACCTTTTATTTTTAATGATTACCTGCATTTGGGATGAAGAGAATCAGAGAGGACCTGCTGAGCTGCTGCAGCATCTCTTTCTGCAAAATACCTATAGTTGGAGGGAAAAGAAAACCATAACTCCAGACCTTTAGAATACATTCATTTCAACCCAGTTCGAGGTCATTTTGGATTCAGATGGATACCAACATAAGTGATATCACTTGTTTCAGCTGCTCCAGAGAATGAACTGCTTTTCATAACAGAATTTTCCAAATACAATGAGAATCTAATAGGGTACTTGTAAAACCCACAAAGTTTTAGGAATGATTCCAGGAGGTTTGAAAATTTAACTATGAACTTTACCATTCCCCAGAGAGCCAAAGATATTCTTAATGAGGGTTATAGATTCTTTTGTTTGTTTGCTTTTAATTTTATTTATTTTTTAATTGAAGGATAATTGCTTTACAGAAGAGGGTTACAGATTTTTAGCAGGAAGGCAGAATGAGGCCCCTCATAAGGCAGAAAAGGCCTGGATGAAGGCAACATGGTGAGAGGTTCTGACTGCCAAACAGCAGAGAAAGGATGAGACTAGATGAGGTTCAGTGTTTTTTCTTGGAGAATATTCTTGGGGTAAATTTTGGATGAAAATATCTTACAGAGCATAGAGATGTTAAATTTCTGTTTTGGGGGGAAAAGGGCAATGAATTTCCTAACAAATGCAAAAAGCTTACATAACCTCAAAAATATATCATAAAAGTTACTTCATAAAGACAATCATAAAATACAATTAAGAGTAGCATATATTATTTGATTTGATGCATACATAATTTCTTGAATTTATCTAAAGGATAAAACAAGCTCTTAAATTTTCTTTCAAAAAGTTCAAAGATAGTCAGCAAATTTCATAAACATATCCATGATTATTAATGAAATTGAGTCTCTTCATACTTTTGTTGGTCATCTAGGTTTCTTCTTTTATAGCCTATCTGTTAATATTTCTTGGTCCAGTATATCTTAAAATGCATTCAAATAAATAAGATAAATAAAGCCTCAGAGCCTAATATAATGGAGATGGATCCTTTATCATGTATATGAATGTCAACCTTGGTTTTCATTTTATCTATGGTGGCTTATCTGACAGAAAGTTTCACTTTTAATGTCTGAGATCCATTGATTTCTCCTTTACAGCTTGTGCTTTTTTGGTTTTTAAGAGATCCCTCTTTACTCACATATTTCAAAGATTTTCTCCTAAAAGTTGTAAATAGTTGTTTTTGACATTCAACTTGTAAATTGAGGTGAGGTAGATATTTATTTTTCAAACGGAAGGTCAACTGTCCCAGCTGTACTTATTAAAAGTTCGTCCTTTACATACTTATTTGCATCCCCACCTTTACTTTTCTATCCATTCGCACATTACATAATAATGCAACATTTAAAACACTTTATAAAAGAATGGGTGACTATTCAGATATAAAGAACAAACTAGTGGTTACGAGTGGAGAGGGGGAGGAGGGACAAAACCGGGGTAAAGGAGTAGGAGATACAAACTGCTGGGTGTAAGACAAGCTACAAGGATATATTTTAAAACACGGGGAGTGGAAGCAAAATATTCTAATAACTGTAAATTGAAGGTGACCTTTAAAATTGTATAAAATATTTACCATCTTAAAAAAAGGCATGAGTGATTAATTAAACTTCATAAATTTAAAATAAAAGCAAAGATCTAGGGGGAAAATGGGTGCTATTAAAAATGTCATTTTTTTTCTTTTAAAAACGTATCACTACCCTTCCTAAGAACAACCTACAAGGACTCCTTTTTTCTTGAAAATGAATGGCTACAAATGACCCAATTTAAGCATGAAAAAAATAATGAGGACAATTATTAAATCACATAAGCACACAAAAACCAGGAGTTAAAATGATAATTTAAAAATACAGAGATAAAGCCAAAAAAAAAAAAACCACAAAGTTTGATCACTAACAAAGGCACTAGGGCACCGACTCCTTCCTGTGAAAATTGGTAACTTATTTACTTGAGCAGCTATCCTGCCTGTCTTTTAGAGAAACCAAACAACTGTATTTAATAAAAGAAACAGTCTTTACAGAATTCCAGCCAAAAACTGTGGGAAGAAAAACAAAATTAGAGAAGCACTCTATGTATAATTAATTGGTTCACTTACAATCACTGGAGGAAATGGTTAAATGGCTAGACGGCAATGGAGACATCAGGCTGTGATTCCTCTGACTCATTTCAGCGTAAAACTGAGACTGTGGATGCTACACTCTCAACATGAACCTACTCAAGTGTTTTCGAATATCTCCTGTTTTCAAGAAATGCTGGGATGGGTACAAATGCAAACAGACAAATATAGACTGTGGGGTATTTTATAGTACAGGAAAGTTGACCTAGATTCTTGCATGAGTTTAATGAAATGATTGGGGGTTCAAAACGAGAGGACAGAGGGGGAGAAATTGCTTGAATTAAAAAAGACCAGAGAGATAATCATTAAGTGCAATGCATAGATCTTACATGGAACTGGATTATGACAAACCAGCTATAAAAGACATTTTTGAGAGAACTGGGAAATTTGAATATGGTCAGGATATATAGATAATACCAAGGAATCATTGGTATTATGATTAATATAAGGTTAACATAAGGTAATATTCATGTCTTTAAAGCTACATATTGACATATGAGACTGAAACTACAAACAGTATAAGATTTTCATTAACATAATTCTACCAAAAAAAAAGTGCTGCAAGTATTTCAAAATGTCAATAATTACTAAATCTGGATGATCAGTATAAAGGGGATTCTTTATAATCTCTCCTCTGTTTTTGTATACAATGGAAATTTTTCATAATAAAATAATTAAAATAAATTTGAGACTTGTTTAAAAGAATGCATAAAGTTTGCCAGATAAAAGGAAGATGGTAGTAGTTTTTTAAATTTTATGAACCTGAGTTGAAGTCAGAGGACTTGAATGTTTACTTGGAGTCTTCTGGGCAGTGGCTTCTAGGACTAATAACTCAACTTTGACATTTCAATATGAGGAGGCCAGATATCACTTTAAAACTCAACCATTCTTCATTTTACTTACTGCAAATTGTACAGTCCCAAAAGTCCCATTCCTCGGAAATCTGTTTTAGGATCATCACCTTGGAAACCAATTTCACACCATTGCTTAGAAATCCGGGATTCCAGTGGAGTATTGGGCTTCAAGAATTTCCATAACTGAAGACAAAGAAAAAATTAGCTTGTTAATATACACACATATAATACTATTTCTTACTGGCTAAAATTTAGTAAGCTACACTATTAAGAAGAACTTGGGAAATCTGAATATATGCAAGTATATTACAATTGCAGATCTGATTATCTTTCAATTATCTATGACAACAGCTCTCAAAGTATGATTGAAAGACTCCTTGAGGGAGTCTAAGACATTTCCAGGAAGCCTGGGAAGCAAAAATTATTTTGTAATGGAACTAAGAGGTTAGTTGTCTTTTTACTCTCATCTTCTCATAAAAATACAGTGGAATTTTCCAGAGGCTGAATGACATGTGATGATGCCATTGCACTGAAGGCAATGGAACATATACTTGTGTATATTTTAGTGTGTTTAATCTTTCTGTTTTAGTTCCTAGTCAGTGATATGTTTATGTGTATATGTGTGTATACATACACACAATCTTCTACAAAAGATTTTTGGAATCTTCAAAAACATTTAAGAGAGTAAAGGGAATGGAAGGAAAGGAATAATTTTGAGGTCATGCATCATTCAAGTCCTCAGAAATGATTAGCTAACTTTATAGCAAAACAATTAGCAGCACTGTTAACAGAAAGAAAGTGAACTGACTTGAGTTTCATTTCTCATCTATAACAGGGATGAGAATAAATAAGGATCATATAGTTGAATAAAGAAAGATGTTCTTGGATTAGAAGAATCAATATGTGAAAATGACTACACTACCCAAAGCAATCTACAGATTCAATGCAATCCCTATCAAATTACTAATGACATTTTTTTCACAGAACTAGAACAAAAAATTTTACTACTTGTATGGAAACACAAAAGATCCTGAACAGCCAAAGCAACCCTGAGAAAGAAAAATAGAGCTAGAGAAATCAACCTTCCTGAACTCAGACTATACTACAAAGCTAGTCATCACGGCATATGGTACTGGCACAAAAACAGGCATACAGATGAAGGAAATAAGATAGAAAGCCCAGAGGTAAACCCATGTACCTATGGGCACCTTAGCTTTGACAAAGGATGCAAGAATATACAATGGAGAAAAGACAGCCACTTCAGTAAGTGGTGCTCAGAAAATGGGACAGCTACATGTAAAAGAATGAAACTGGAACACCTTCTAACACCATACACAAAAATAAACCCAAAATGGGCTAAATACTGAAATATAAGGCCAGAAACTACAAAACTCTTTAGAGGAAAACATAGGCAGGACACTCTTTGACACAATTCACAGCAAGATCCTTTTGACCCACCTCCTAGAGTAATGGAAATAAAAACAAAAATAAACTAGCAGGACCTAATTAAACTTAAAAGCTTTGGCAAAGCAAAGAAAACTATAAATAAATGAAAAGACAATCCTCAGAATGGGAGAAAATAATTGCAAATGAAACAACTGACAAAAGATCACTCTCCAAACTATACAAGAAGTTTATGCAATGCAATATCAGAAAAACAACTCCATCAAAAAATGGGCAGAAGACCTAAACAGACATTCCTCCAAAGAAGACATACAAAGTGGTCAACAAACACATGAAAAAATGCTCAACACTGCTCATTATTAGAGAAATGCAAATCAAAACCACCATGAGGTATCACCTCACACCTGTTAGAATGGTTACCATCACAAAGTCTACAAACAATAAACGCGAGAGAGAATGTAGAGAAAAGGGAACCCTCTTTCACTGTTGGTGGGAATGTAAATGGATACACTCACTATGGAGAACAGTATGGAGATTACTCAAAAAACTAGGACTAAAACCACCATATGAGCCAGCAATCCCACTGCTAGGCATATACCCTGAGAAAACCATAATTCAAAAAGGCACATGTATCCCAATGTTCAATGCAGCACTATTTACAATAAGTAGGACATGGAAGCAACTTAGATGTCCATGGACAGAAAATGGATAAAGAAACTGTGGTACAATCTATACAATGGAGTATTGCTCAGCCATAAAAAGAATGAACTTGAGTCAGTTGTAGTGAGGTGGATGAACCTAGAGCCTGTTATACAAAGTGAAGTAGGTCAGAATGTGGAAAACAAATATCATATATTAATACATATATGAGGAATCTAGAAAAATGGTAGTGATGAACCTATTTACAGGGCAAGAACAGAGACACAGAAGTAGAGAATGGACTTGTGAATACAGCGGGAAGGAGAGGGTGGATGAATTGAGAGGGAAGCATTGAAATATATATACTCCCATGTGCAACACAGATAGCTAGTGGGAAGTTGCTACAGAACACAGGGAGCTCAGCATGGTGCTCTGTGATGACTGAGAAGGGTGAGATGGTGGTGGGGAAGCTCAATAGGGAGAGGATATGTGTACACGTAGAGCTATTTCATGTGGCTGTACACCATTGTAAAGCAATTACACTTCAATTAAAAATAAAAATATATTGTCACCCTGCTTATTTAACTTGTATGCAGAGAACATCATGAGAAATGCTGGGCTGGATGGAGCTCAAGCTGGAATCAAGATTGCTGGAAGAAATATCAATAACCTCAGATATGCAGATGATACAACCCTTATGGCAGAAAGCGAAGAACTAAAGAGTCTCTTGATGAAGGTGAATGAGGAGAGTGAAAAAGCTGGCTTAACTCAACATTCAAAAAACTAAGATCATAGCATCCATTCCCATCACTTTATGGCAAATAGATGGGGAAAAAAGTGAAAACAGTGACAGACTTTATTTTCTTGGGCTCCAAAATCACTGTGGACTGTGACTGCAGCCATGAAATTAAAAGACGCTTGCTCCTTGAAAGAAAAGCTATGACAAACCTAGACAGCATATTAAAAAACAGAGAGATCACTTTGTCGACAAAGGCCCATATAGCCAAAGCTATGGTTTTTCCAGTAGTCATGTGCAGATGTGACAGTTGGACCAGAAAGGCTGAGTACTGAAGAATTAATGCTTTTGGACTGTAGTGCTGGAACGATTCTTGAGAGTCCCTTAGACAGCAAGGAGATCAAACCAGTCAATCCTAAAGGAAATCAACCCTGAATGTTCACTAGAAGGACTGATGTTGAAGCTGAAGCTCCAATAGTTTGGCCACCTGATGCAAAGAGCCGATTCATTGAAAACGACCTTGATGCTGGGAAAGACTGAGGGCAGGAGGAGAAGAGGGCAACAGAGGATGAGATGGTTGGATGGCATCATTAACTCAATAGATATGAGTTTGAGCAAACTCCCGGAGACAGTGAAGGACAGGGAAGCCTGGCGTGCTGCAGTCCATGGGGTCATAATAAGTCAGACATGACTGGCCGACTGAGCAACAACGAAAAATAAAAAAGACAATAGTGTTCATGCTGCTTCTGCTGCTAAGTCACTTCAGTCGTGTCCAACTATGTTGTGACCCCATAGACAGCAACCCACCAGGCTCCCCCATCCCTGGGATTCTCCAAGCAAGAACACTGGAGTGGGTTGCCATTGCCTTCTCCAATGCATGAAAGTGAAAAGTGAAAGTGAAGTCACTCAGTCGTGTCCGACTCTTAGCGACCCCATGGACTGCAGCCTACCAGGCTCCTCCATCCATGGGATTGTCCAGGCAAGAGGACTGGAGTGGGTTGCCATTGCTTTCTTGGATAATGTTCAGGAATAAACCTCAAAAAGATATTATCATTGTTAACAGTTACCTAAAATAATTTAATTTATGATCAATTGCATTTTACTGGACAAATATAAATTCTAGACATTATATTCTTCACTGATTAAGAAACTGGTTGTACTTTTTCAGCTTCTTATAGAAAAATAAACTCAGTATGTATTATTACTTGAGAGAGTGAGAAAAACTGAGACCCACAACTGTATATACATGTAATGTTCAAAATATTAGTTTTTTCTAGTAAATGAAGATGGGTATGTAAACAAATTTACTTTTTAGGATATTAATAACATTTCATGTTATATCTTCATTATAGACAAGGATAAATAGAAATATAAAATTTCCTGTTACTATTTAAGACATAATTCACCTTTTAAATTGCTAATTCTGTTATATGGATTTTAAAGCTTAAAGGGAACAGTATATGTCACATCTGACATAGTACAAAGGAAAGTCCAATGACAGGAAATACTAACAAAAAGTTGTAATTCATCAAAGTTCTTTCAGGCATTAATGCAAAATTACTTATTATTCAAATGATACAATATTTTGTTTTAGCACAAGAGGTAAATTCAATCTAAAGGGTGAGAAAAAATTTTCAGAGAAAAGAAAGTATATCTATCATGCTTGAAAGTAAAATATCAAACTGATATAAGAAATCTCTTTTTAAAAAAAAAAAATTTATTTAGTTTTGGCTGTGCTGGTTCTTCATTGCTGGGCAGGCTTTTCTCTAGTTGAGGCAAGCGGGGCTACTCTCTAGCTGCAACGCATTAGGCTCTTCATTGCGGTGGCTTCTCTTTTCATGAAGCATGGGCTCTATTGTTTCAGTAGTTTCAGCACATGGGCTCAGTAGAGCAGCTCCTGGGCTTTAGAGCACAGGCTCAATAGTTGCGGCAAACAGGCTTAGCTGCTCTGACGCACGTGGGGTTTTCACAAATCAGGGATCGAACCAGTGTCTCCTGCATTGGGAGGTGCATTCTCTACTATTGAGCCAACAGGGAAACTCCCAGAAATCTCTTGTTATATTCCCCATATAAGAATTTGCCAGTGCTCTTTATTCATCAAAAGACAAAATGCTATAATTCACTTGACGAGTACAAAAAACAGAGAAAAAATCTCCTTAAAAAAAAATCCTCTGGGAACTGATTTGGTTACTGCCACAGTGAAAACCAAGCAAACAAAAACAGATTGTAAAGCTCATCATATTCACTTGAACAATATCTGGAAGTAATCTCAAGGCCCTACACAGTTTAAAAATACCTGGTTTGATCAAGTGAGTGGAGTAAAATGCCAACAGCAAGCATTTCATTTCTACAGTTAAATGATAAACTTCCTTCATTCGGAGAATAGTTGGTTTGGGAAAGTAAA